CCGATACTTTCGAAGAGAAGTAGCAATAATAAAGAAAGCATTGATACTTTTGCAATGTTACTAATTTTGATTAATGTCGTACTAGAGTTACGCACCAATGGACTGTAGACGACGGTTTCAATTTAAAAGAAAAATGACTACTCTAAGCTAAGTTGTTGTTGTAGTTCATTTACGTGAAGACATGCTCTCACAATTTTGATCCTCTGCAGAGGGAATTACACCCCCGCTTCGGTAGCCTGACGACCTGCACCAACACCTCCTAGAAAAGAGTAGGCCTCTGCACGGGTTACCATAAATATCCTTTAGTAGTTCAAACGTAATGACATATTTCGTATTTTCAACCACTGCGCAGCTTAGTACCCTGAACGTAATGACATCTTTCTTATTTTTCGTCAACTGCGCAGTTAACTTCGTCACATCGGACTACTANAAAAGAAGTAGTAATAATAAAGAAAGTATTGATACTTTTGCAATGTTACTAGTTTGGATTAACGTCGTACTAGAGTTACACGCCAATGGACTGTAGACGACGGTTTCAATTCAAAGGAAGAACGACTACTCTAAGCTAAGTTGTTGTTGTTGTAGTTCATTAACGTCGCACTAGAGCTGCACAGTGAGCTATTGGCGACGGTCTGGGAAACATCCTTGAGGACGATCCGAAGACATGCCATCACAATTTTGATCCTCTGTAGAGGGAATGGCACCCCTGTTTCGGTAACCTAACGATCTGCACGCGAAGTCGAGTACTTTACGGTAGAACAGTTTAACGAGGACCCATACCGCACACCTTAGATCCCTACGCAGACTATTCCAAGTGGTCACCCACCCGTACACTGACCGCAGCCAATGATGCTTGACTTCGGTGATCTGTTGGGAACCGTGTCTTAACGATCGATCAGTTCACTGCGGGACTACTCTAAGCTGAGAATATGATACCAGAAACAACCTATTAAGTAAAATATGTCAGGCTAATAAAGGTTATAGGTTTGGCTGTGTGCGATAGATTCTGTAAAATAGGCGATATTACTGTGTTTAGAAACAAAAATATTCTCTCTTTTTTTTTAAAGCGCGATTTCTTTTGAATATTTCTATATTTAGCACTAAATGCAAGTTAAAAGTAACATTTTAAAATGAAGGAAACGATTTATGACAACGCAATGTCAGGGGATTTTGTACAATAAATCAGAAATGATAAATGGCTTTGACAAATAACTGTTGTAAGTTTTTTTTCCTTAGAAAGTGAGATTTTGTAGTGTGGTGTGTAATTGTGAAGTATGGCCAGTAATGTGGGGGTTTTATTAATATATGAACACAAAAGCCATGAAAATACGATTTGTGTTGAGATTTTGTAGTGTAATGTGTAATTGTGTGGCTTTATTTATATATGAACACAAAAGCCATGATTTTTATATCTCTCAGTTTATGTATGGTTTTATTTTTATAATTACTCGGTTATTTTTAAAATTATGTTCATTAAAAGTGTTATGGAAGAATTTTTTTTTCTTTATTTGAACAAAAAAGCTTTATTCAATATAAAAATACGTAAATTAGTTTTGAATAAAATATCGTGATATATCGAAAATTATTGATATTTTCTGACGATGCATCGTGATATTAAAAACCGAGATATTGTTTAGCACTAGAGATGATACAATCCCTCTGTTTTGTCTGGGGAATTACTTAAAAAAAAAGTCAATTGGATACACCAATTAAGTTGTTTTACTTACAAAATTAATTAACTTCGAGCAAAGTTGTTAACGAAATCAGTCAAACCTTTTCTGTTTTATTCAATTAATCGTAAAGTTAAAAATTTGATTTCTCGAAAACTGTTCGCTCGATTTCATTCAAATTTTTTATTTTGTCATTTAAAATTGTATGATTTAAAATGATGTAAAAACTTGTATTAATTACTATTGGAAATTTTTTCCACTATTATTAAATAATTAAAAAAAGATATTATCAATGATAATTTTAATAATAATATTAATAAATGTAATTTATAATAAATAATATAATATATAATAATACATATAATATATTAATACTATATAATTATATATACAAATAATAATATTAGAAAATATCTATTAATTTTTTTTACATGAAGTTATTCTTGAATAAGCGAATTTTATAATTTCGTACAAAATTTTCCCATTTTCCTAAAAAGTAAACGAGATTTAACGAAATCCGTAAAACATGAATTTAACATGAATGGGTTCAAAATTTTGACCCGTTCCCCTATTTCTGTATGGGGACCATATTTTCTAGATTGCGGTTAACCCCACCCCTACTATGAGGGTCAAGAATCCCAAGTTTGCAGGAGGAAAAAAAATACGTGTTTTTCCCTAGAAAGTACGTTTTCATGTCTTATTTCGTAACTTTAAATATCTTCCTCATTGATTAATTATCATAGTTAAGGTTTGGTCTTTTGACCATTTAAATTGAATCCTAGAATTAGATAAAAAAGTTATTCAGAGTATTTCAGTTCATATAATTTACTTAAAATTAATATGAATACTGTCCGATTATTCGATGAAAATTTTAATGACGTAGAAGATGGAGTAGAACATTACGAATCTAACAATTAGCAGTTAAAGACTCACTAACTTCAGATTAAACAAACTGCATTTTTCTAGAGGTCAGGCTGAGCTATTCTTGAAAATCGCTTAAAGTAAATTTAATTCCTCCATAATTTATAATTTTAACCTTAATACGCGGTTTTTTACATATTTAGGTAATCCACGTGATTGACTTTAATTTCAGACTCGAAAAACTTTCTTTTCTTTATTTGTTTAAGAATTGAATATATTAACCAGAAATGTGTTTTAACTAAATATTTAATTCCGTATTTAAACAACTTCCTCTTTCGAAAGGTCAAAGGCCGGAACACGATTCTTTACTTAAGTTGCTAGGTGGTGATAATCTACCCCCGCATAGAAAAACGTTCCATTATTTTCGAATTAATTATGGTAAATTGTTTGGCTTCAGATGAGTTAGTCACGTTTTGTTTAAACGCATTACGATTGGATTATTATTTACGAAAAAATATCAAATCATAATACAGTATGCGGTATTTAAATGTTCATTTTAAAAACACTTTCACCCATGTTTATGTTTTAAAACGGTAGAAGCATAAGTAGTTCTTGGTTTCCGATTTATTAAAGCATTTTATCATATTTAATGTTATTGTTTATTATCGTAGTACGTGTTCTATTATTATCAATCTTATCTGTTGCCCGAATTGAAAGGCTTGAGGAAATATAGTGATTAAATACATCTCGGAATTTTAATAAAACATTTCTGTTAAAAAGAATAAAGATAAAATTCTTTAAATAACATAAATAATTATTAAAAAATGCATTCAAAATTCTTAAATCGTACAAAAATTATGTTGTTTGTTTATAAAAAGATTAAAATTGAGGGGTCTGAGACAATATAGTAATATGTCACACACATTCCGAAGGTGACATTTTTTCAAACATCTAACTGTGAGTCGTGATGGCTTAGGGGATAGAGCTCACGTTGCCTTCCAATGAGGTGACCCGAGTTCCGATCCCAGAGATGGCTCGATATGCATTCCACATCTGGGACCACAGTGCTGACATAGAATATCCTCAGTAGCAGACGGATCATGGGTAAGAGTCCCCTTTCTGTCAGGCTAACCGTGAGAGGTTCTCGTGATCTTCCTCTCCATGTAACGCAAATGCGGGTTATAGTTCCCCCAAAAAGTCCTCCACGAAGACAAAATATCTCCCTACACTTGATCCAAGACTTCCTTTGTCTACTGGATTGAATTCAAAATTACAAGGCTACGTACTTAAATATTAGTGGTCGTAAACACAGAAATTGAGCCAGCTGTTCTACGACGGTTATAAAAGAATAAATAAAAGCATCTAACTGTTCCTTAGTGTTTTTTTTTTTAATTAGTTACCTCGCAAGTCTCCATAACTGCCTGTAGATGGCAGCACAATACTCAGAAACAGGGTTTATCAAACGCTCTCAAAAACATTTTATTCAATGATTTGAAAATGTAGCTTATCATTTTAAGGCTCCATTCCCTTAATTTATACTTTATTATGGTTGTTTATAGTTGTATGTTAGAAATGATTTCGTACTTTATGAGTGTCTTGTATGTCTAAAACTGATTTCTACATGCTTTTGTAGTATTACTAAAAAAATAATCGCAATCATAATTAGTTTAAACTTATGGTTATTGAAAAAAAATGAAGGGAATATTTAAGATATAATATTTCGGTACGAAAAAAAAATTAAAAAAATTAGATTTTTGATTAGTTCAAAGTTTTGATTTGAAGTTAAAAACATAGAAGTAATCAAAAAATTATACCTATTGTATTTTATCTAACCTTGTCTAGTAAATCTTTTGTTATATGCTACATAAAGAAATACCAATAAGGCAGATATATTTTTTTTAATGTAAAATACACAAAAATATTACCAATAGTAGCTTTTTCGTAACAAACATAAACGATAAATATACAATTTTCCAACTATCTTAAATCTTCCTTATCATTTTTTCGCGTTCAGATTTAAATAAAAATTTTCCGGAATTAAAACTTTTTCCAAAAATTAAAATATTGCATTCTGTATCCTGTAATCAGGAAGAAAATATGGTTTTTTTAAAAACTTCACTGTCATTTCACTGACCATAATGCATACATTAAGAATCTTTGTCAAAATTGAAATTGGCAAGGTCATTGATTAAGATGAATATATATATATATATATATATATATATATATTATAAAGAAAAAT